TTTTGACCATTTTATCTGTGCATTTTTGTTTTATCTCATTTATAATATCATTTGCCATTCTGTGCATTTTTGTTTAATCTCTTTTTTAAAATCATTTACACACAYTATGCAACATATTGATTATCTTGTTTATATGTTGTTAAGATTCTTTGCCTATTTTTGTTGATTTCTTTTATAGACATCTAGGCTATTGATTTCATATACTTCTGAATTTGACTGTCAGGTTAAAGTGAAGAATTGGGTTGATGGTGTTGAAGGTGAAAGCATAGATGGATTAACTGCTAGATTTGGTGCTACATTACCAAGTGAGGAAAGCAAAGCACTAAAACTGCCTGTTGTTTTAAYGAATCCCCTGAATTGCTGCACCAATTCCTCCTCTAAGGTCCTTCCCATGTTCTACACTGAATCCTTGTAACCTTTATAGTATATGATTACAAAATTTTACTTAGTTTTACTATCATGAAAGTACAAGTTCCTTGGAGGCCTTTGATATAGACTCTTTTATGAAACTTGAAAAGTCACAATTCTCTTTAAGTTGAGATGTCTTTGGCATAGGAGGCTACTTAAACTTGTCTTTCCATTCCAATAATTCAGTGGCACATGCATTTTATTGTATACTAAAGTTAGGCTGTTTTTATGGTGTGGTCTTAACTTTTTGTACCTTGATTATTTCTATAGGGTATGATTACAGYAGTAGCCTTTTTCATCTTTTTAGTTAGGTTGATGGCTGATTCAATTGRCTTCCATGCTTGCATATCTCATGGTTAGTTYCCAATGTTGAAGCAAAGTGCCTTAGGGGTGGAAAGGAGACAAAGTATAGGTTTTTGATAGGGAAATCCATGGAAGGTTGTCTGAGATTTACAATCTCCTTTACTGATCAAGAAAGGATTAACAATATCCTGCATTTTCATTAAGAGTATGCTGTTTCAGTCAACAGCGCAATGTATCTTCCGATCAATTGAAATCTATGTAAATATGTTAAATGTTTATGATTCTCAATTAACTGATTGTTTTCTAAGTAAAGACTTTCATTTATTGGGAAAAAAAAGAAAGGTATTTTGTAGTTTTCAGACTCCTAGATAGTCATTGAACTAAACTGATCTCCAACTGCTACCCTATTTTGTTAACACTATAAAGAAAGGAATTATAATATTGCCCCTGATTAAGTAAATAAAGTGAAAAATCTCCTTATACCCTTAAGTTAACTTCTAACACTAGGAGAGGGAGAAAGGAAAAAGAATTTGGGAGCTAATGTGTGTTTTTGAGGAACTGAAAAARTAAGGAAATGAAGAACACAAAAGGATTGCAAGAAAGCAATGGGGAAATTAATATGGAAGAGTGGAATGAATATCT